ATTTCCATCGTCAAATGCTTCAATATAGTTCAGATATTTATAAAAAAAAGCCGGGGGATCGATTTTAGCGGAAGAATTTAAGTACTAAATGAATTAAATATTTAAAGTATTTTAACGCAGTTTTACAAAATAAAAAAAAATTATATTTATGAATTGAAAATGAAAATCGATTCCCTACTTTTTACTACTTTTTTCTTCTTCGCGCTACTTTTCTGCATAAGTTTCTAACACAACACTAGTCACATTACCTAAAGAGCGAAGGCAATCCATGCGTCCCTGTAGCGCAGTGGATAGGGCGTTGGACTTCAAATCCAAAAGGCGTGGGTACTAATCCCACAATGGAAGGTAGAATATCTACGGATTTATTTTCTTTTAAACATCTCTACTTTATTAGCAAGAGTATGAATACTTGTCACATTACCTAATATGAAAACAATCCCTGTGTTTTGCGCATGGATGGGGCTCGACTTCTAATCCAAAGGTCTGGGGTTTGAATACCACCGGGATGATCAAATATCTGTGCTTTTTTCTTTTAACATTACTACTTTATTAGCAAAGGATGAAAAATGTCACATTACCTAATTGTGGAATTTCTCATTGCGTCCCCGGGGGCATGGACTTCTAATCCAAAAGGGCGTTTGTTTTGAAACCCACCAGGAATGATAAATATCTGTGCAATTTTTTTTCATTCCGCAAAGGGGAAAAAACGCCTTATAAGGAATTTTTTTTAATGGAAACCATCAATCCGGGCGTGGGCCCCTTCACCCGGGGGTCAAAATATCTGTGCTTTTTTTTCTTTAAAAATTACTCATTTTTTAAAAAGAGGATGAGTACTTGTCACATTACCAAGAGTGAAATTGAATTTGCGTACTTGTGCGCAGTGGGTAGCGCTTACTTTTAATCCAATTGGGGGTTTTTAATTTCACCAGGGGTGATCAAAAATTTTTTTAAATTTTTTTTTACAAAAAAATTTTACTTTATTAGCAAGAGGATGAATACTTGTCACATTACGCAAAAAGTGAAATTTGTTTTGCGTCAATGTACCAAATAACACGTTGGAATTCTAATCCAGATTCTGGGTCGAATTACCGGATGATAAATACTGTGCATATATTTTTAAAAACACTTTATTAGAAAGGGGGATAATACATGTCACATTACCAATGAGTAAAAAAATCATTGGGCCCCGTGGGGCAGTGGATGCGGTTGGGCCTAATCCAAAAAGGGCGTTTTCAGAAAAACCCCCCAGGAATGAAAATTCGTGCTTATTTTTTCTTCTTTTATTGCAAAAAAGGATGAATACTTGTCACTGTAAAAAATAAATTTTTTATTGGCCCGTGGGGAGTGGATCCGCGCTCGACTTCAATCAATGGTCGTGGGGAATCCCACCAGGGGACCCATATCAGTCTTTTACTTTTTAGCCCAAGGAGGGTGAATACTTTTCCCTTTCTAATGGTGAAATTAGTCTTTACTTCCTTAGAGCAGTGGATGGCGCGTTGGGCTTCTAATCCAAAAAGGGCGGGGGCGAAAAATCACCAGGGATGATCAAACATATCTGTGCATATATTTTTTAACATTAATACTTTATTATCAAGACGATGAATACCTGTCACATTACCTAAAGAGTGAAATTTGTCATTGCGTTCCAGTAGCGCAGTGGACAATGCGTTGGACTTCTAATCCAAAGGTCGTGGGTTCGAATCCCACCAGGGATGATCAAATATCTGTGCATTTATTTTTTAAACATTACTACTTTATTAGCAAGAGGATGAATACTTGTCACATTACGTAAAAGTGAAATTTGTTATTGCGTCCCTGTAGCGCAGTAGATAGCACGTTGGAATTCTAATCCAGATGTCGTGGGTTCAAATTCCACCATGGATGATGAAATATCTGTGCATATATTTTTTTACAATAACTCAGTGCTTCTCAAACTTTCAATACTGGCGCCCCCCTTTTCAATCACAATTTTTATCGCGCCCCCCTTATACATTAATAAATTACTGAATGCAATAATAATGCACTTTAACGCTAAAGCTTCAATACACAATCTTAATTATAAACCGTACAAATTAATAACATAAGTATTAAATTTTGTATGTTACTTTTATAAGCACACAAAATAATTAAATAATAGGATAATTATTATGTTATTTTTCCTTTCTCTAATTTTTAAATTGGAACATATTGCAAAATGCGGTGACTGCTTAGAAGACAAAATATAGATATCAGCTAAATATAGAAAAAGAACTCAGAGGGTCAATTTCTAAAAAACTTTGAAAAACTTTGCTCTGCAAGACAAGCCCATGGAAGTCGCTAATACTTATTAAACTTGTTCTTAATTCAGTATTAATAAGATAAGTATTAAATTTTTTATACATGTTACTCTAAAGAAATATATATTTTTAATTAAATTACTTTTAAGTAATAGGTTAATTATGTTATTTTTTCTTTCTCTAATTTTTAAATTGAAACAGATTGAGAAATAATATTTAATTAAAGATTTATTTCCTTTAAGATCCATTTCTAAAAGTACAAATGTCATTAAAAAATAGCCTAATCTATGTTGCTCTTTATCATATCCATTACATCTGGCATTCTAGAGAACGTTCATGTGAGTCTAGGCAACCTAACAGACATCTGCATAAAACATGTAAAAGTGCTGTACCTCGTACAATTCTAGTCAGTCTTGGCCGAATCGATTAGCTACCGAATCTCTCTTGAAGTACATTTCATAATTCACGCGTTAATTGTAATTCACGGTATTAAGTATTTACGGCAGTGGATTAAAACAAAATCATAGATATATTTTTAAATCACTGCGAGCATTCGACGATAATAAAGCATCAACAAGTACACAGACGAGGGCAAATTGATAGCAAGTTACGAATGGGTTAGGGATCCATTTCAAAATATCCTCGCAGAATTAGCATTTAGAATAAATATGTTAAGTAATAAAAAAAGAATATAAAATTCTAATGAATAACAATTGTGTTATTTTTTTAATTATTTAAAGCGAGAAAGCCCGGGATCAGGTGTGCACTCGATACTAACATTGTCGCGGGGAGTGATGCACCCCAATTTTTTTTTTATAATTATTTTCAATATACAAGATAAAAATCACAATTTCAGTGAATAATTTAAGAGAAAATATACTTACCTATTTCAAGGATTTTTCTATTTGTCTTTCATAATTTGAGAAAATATCCAATAAAACTGAACTAAATTGTTCCAAATGTGCGTGACCTTAATAAAGGACACAAATCACAGACACTTTTTGCTAACATTACAGGAAAGTTATTTGCAAGCAAAACTGTACATTTGTTCACGTTATTGTAAGTTTTAATCTTGATGATCGACAAATATCCTGTTGAACTTTTTCTTGCTTGTGTCTTTTTGACAGGGTAAAGTTCATTTTGCGGTACACTTATGGCTTCATATTTTCTTGATAAAGTTCTTAATGTAGCTAATGAAAATTTTCCTTTCGTTTCATGTTTATTGCTTTTCTCAAATTTACTTTCGCTAACATGATTAATATGCATTATTTCAGCAAGTGTTTCCCTTGTTTGATCAGCTTCAATTTCCTTTCAGAGAGATCACAGATGCCCAATTCTTTTTTTATATTCTGCTCATTTACATTTATAAACCATAATCAGTCGTACAACATCACAATTAAAACCACTAAGTTATTCATAGGGGAAAATGCAGCATGTTCAAGAAAATATTTTTGAAAAATAGTGGTCGTGCCGGGAACTCGGTCTAAACAAGCACCTTAAGATTCTAAAAACGTTTGCCACTCCCAAAAAAGGAGATATATTATCAATTCATTTTAGCTCCCATTAAGACTGCCATATTAGAGGATTCCCTGTCAAGGTCATTGGTAACAAATAAACAGTTTTCCCAGAAATAACGATTTTTGTATTATATGTTTCAGTATACTCATAAAAAGTAAATCTTGGCCAATTAATCCTTCAAAGTGCTCAATATACTTATCCATGTATCATAAAACTCTTCCACATCGTGAAAAAAAAAGCGCAACAGAATTATATAATTCACAACTTCCCTAAAAAAAGGGGATGCAGGTAACCCTACCATAAGTTCGAAAGCCAGCAAAAGTAATATTTTAGATTAAAAGAAACGTAATAAAAAAATCTCTCATCGTAGGATTACAGCAAAGCAAACAAAATATTTTTTTATTTAGTTATAGGATCAAAGATAGCTAATGAGCGTTTAAAGTAGAATCTTTTATTTTTGATTACCTTTTTTCACCAGATAATATATATAAATCATTTCAGTGTAAATCTGTATTTTTTAATTATATCAAAGTATTTTGTTTTTTTTTCATTCCAGTAAATTAATTTTTTTAAATTTTATTTTCGATATGCTCGCGCCCCCCTTGAAGGGTTATCGCGCCCCAGGGGCGCCCCACAGTTTGAGAAACACTGCAATAACTACTTTATTAGAAAGAGGATGAATACATGTCACATTACCTAATGAGTAAAATTAGTCATTGCGTCCCTGTAGCGCAGTGGATAGCGCGTTGGACTTCTAATCCAAAGGTCGTTTGTTGGAATCCCACCAGGAATGATAAAATATTTGTGCATATATTTTTTTTAACATTACTACTTTATTAGCAAGAGGATGTATACATGTCACATTACCAAATGAGAGAAATTATTCTTTGCGTCCTATAGCGCAGTGAATACCGCGTTCGACTTCTAAGCCAATGGTCGTGGGTTCGAATCCCACCAGGGATGATGACATATCAGTGCTTTTATTTTTTTAGACATTACTACTTTATTAGCAAGAGGATGAATACTTGTCACATTATCTAATGAGTGAAATTAGTCTTTGCTTCCCTGTAGAGCAGTGGATATGCGCGTTGTACTTCTAATCCAAAGGTCGTGGGTTCGAATCCCACCAGGGATGATTAAGTATCTGTGCTTTTATTTTCTTT